TAATGCCGAAAAAATTCTGTTAAATAGATGACTGAGGAAAGAGAGGCAAAAAGGGTGGAGAATTTGGGCTTTGAATGCCGAAGAGGCGAGAGAAAAAATTAAGCCTATTTAAAGCGTTGGTGCAAATAATCAAAAATATATAATTAAAAATTAAAAAAAAATCTGTATTTTTTTCCTTAAAAAAAACCAATAAAATCTGTACTTTTTATATTTGAAAATAATAAATTTAATTAATTTGGTGAGTTAAATATTGGTTTTTTCACTTTTTTGGGGAGTTTATTAAATTTTTAATAAAAAATACTCTGTATAGGTGTTGATGTTTCAGCATTTCATAGGAGGAAGGACATCGTGAAGCTATCAATTACGAGTTGAGAATCAAGGGCGGTTGGGTTACGTGGAACAATAATTAATGTGCAATTCTTGTATTTTTAGGTTTATTTTTGTTTTCTTTCTATACATGGAAATATATGATTTTGTTTTGTTATCCATACATCTTGGGGAGAGAGAGTAGATGAGTGATCTCGATAACTAGAGAGCATATTATGTACACTCGGGTGTTCCGTATATCCGAGGTCGATTTCTCATTCAATTAACAAATGAATATAAATATTATTTGCTCATTTGTTGATTAAATGAGCAAATGACCGAGGGTGTACAGTATACCCGAGTGTATATAATAAATTCTACGGTAATTAAGACTTTTTAAAAAGTATAGTAAATTTAATGTATACAATATCTCGAGTTTAGCTATTTAGATAACGGACTTATGGAAGTAACAAATTGCTAGATTTAAAGATATCTATTTGTGCATATAATTCATAAATTTATATGATAAATGTTTTTAGGAAAATGATAAACATAATGTATAAGAAGTTCATAAAGGACATCAAGTTTTTATTACATGATAGGCGTACTCTGTAATTATCTTACTTTGACAAATAAATCTTAGTTGGAATAAGATTTTCTAGAATATTTTGGATTTATATTAATTTTAAGGTTTCTGAAAATTATTTTTATTGAGTTGATGAAAAAAACAAAAAGGTCTCAAAATATATATATTTTGAGAAATAAAAATTCCACCATCTAACATTTTGTACAAATAGTTCCTTTTTTTTTTTTTTTTTTAAGGAGTTTTACAAATAGTTCCTTGTAAATTGATCAAATACTCATAATTTGGAAAATTCCACCTATTAGTAGTTGTTTGAAAAAAATTTTGTTTTCTTTTCATCATTTTTCTTGTGGCAATAACATTTGAAAGGATGATGAGTATAAGAAGGAAAAGAAACGGTTTTGAAGGTAACCAAAAAAGGTGAGAATTTTGTGAAATCTACCATAATATATTATTATGTAATTGAACTTGTGTTGATTAAATTGTGTTTTGTTATCATCTAGATTGAATTGTCAAAGGCCTCTGTTATTCTAAGGAGGTAACTGTGAATTCTTTCAACATTGGTTGATGCAGGGAGATTCAACGTCGCGTGCCCATTCAAAATCAAATTTGCACCCATGACCCTGTAAAACTAAGCCTACTGATTGCACAAGTTGTCCATGAATGAGTTGAAAGACGGTAGATATTAATGATCATATAGATTTAGTTAAATACAACAAGACACAGGCAATGTAGGTTCAAAATTTTAACATCTTTTACACATTTCTGGTTTCATACTGAATTGATTCCGAGCATTAAAATAAATCTCTTGAACTTGGTCACAAAACATGACTACAAGGTCCAGTTAACACCGAAAACTCATTCAGTGTGGCTCAATGAGTTGATAAACCTGCAGTTGTTCCTGACTTCTCCATTGACAAAACTATCAGCATTAGTAATATTTCCCATCTTCACCATAGATTCAGCGAACTGCTTGAAAAACTGCAAGGGATCTTCTGCATATTTTCGCACTAGATACTTGGTTTGGATCCCAAACATGCTGGAATACATTTCTTGATCCGAGTTCAGGAGCCCCTGACCTTTTAGCAGGATCTGATAGTATGAGTTGTCGAAAAGATCAGGAGTTTCGTAATCTAATGCTGATACATTATTGTTATTACCCCCAACTGCAGGACAAACAGATCTTAGGTTGCTAAGGTGAGCCTCTGACAGAGGGTCTTTTTCTGATGTCAAATCGAAGTCTCCATAGATTCTTGCCCTGAAATTCTCACATCGTGCCATTCCGATGGTATGAGCACCTACAGATTCAATACATAGCAATTCATAAGCCATCATGATCAAATTTCAACTTACAATGTTATTTGGGATCTTTCACCAAATATTTTGTACAGAACTTTGCTACTAGTAATTAGCAGGCAGTAGTAAACACGAAATGTATTGTGCTATTCAAAGTTCGAATGAACTAACCTGAGAGGGCTACCATATCAGTGACAGACAGACCCTGATAAGCGAACTTTGAGATGAGGGAAAGAAGGCCTTCGTTAGCACCAGGAATGTTAGCCTCGGCTATTTCAGGGTTTGTACTTCGAGCATCCTTCCTTCCCAACGGAACATCCCAGTAAGGCCCTCCAACCTTCAAAACAGCACAATGATATCAAAATTCTAAATTGCCAAAGAAATGAACTAGTCACAAGCTCACAATTACTAGCATATTGTGACATAAATTCGTAAGCTTTATCATTTGTACTAAATTAGTTACCAAAATAACCGCGTCCCTAGCTGCAAGAGTGAGGATATCAGCACAAGATACAACTCCGGGACACTCAGACTCCACCATCATCTTAATCCTATCCATAATCTTAAACCCTCTTAAGGAATTCTTATTTTGACTAGCTTTCTTTTCTCCTTTAAGTGTCAACGTATCATCCAATAGCACTGATCCATCGCACCCCTGTAACCAAATTCACAACACAGTCCATCCATACATAATTAATTATCATCAAACTTGTACATAATATATAGTTTATAAAAATTCAAATCGAAGGTGCTCAAATCTAGACCAACCTGAACAAAGCAATCATGCATGTGTAAACGTACAATAGTAGCTGCATTACGAGGGTCAGAAAGCACAGCACACTCCATTTCTTTCCTTACAATACTAAGCAATCGAGGACACGTAGACTTGTAATATTCCAATGTTAAAGGAGGGCTAGATGTATCAGCACTAATCAAGCTTATCGCCGCCAAAACTAACAACATGACTACACTTTTACAGACATCAGTTAGCGCCATTTTCGCTACAAAATCTATTGTTTTGTTTTCTCAAGGGAAGAATGAGAGACAATGTTAGAGTGTACAAGTATTTAAGTGTAAAGAATGGCGGCCTATGCTTTAATTTTATATACAACTAAGTTTGTCTTGTAATTGTTAATTACTGTCATGTTAGAAGCTAAAGTTAAAGTCAAGAGAAGATGCAACTAATATTAAGGTAGTTGAGAACACCCTAATTCAAGTTATATGTACAAAAGTGAAATAGATCAAAAGTAACAAAGAAAAAAAGAAAATAAGAGCATTATTGAATGTCAAAGATTAATTAATTATTAGAGGGTAAGTCACCAACTTAAGTATATGATTTAGATAATTAGTTAGGATTATGAAGTAGTACAAATTTTGAGAAAACCTTAAATTTCTTCGTCGTTTTGTTGTCTGAGGATCATGTGAAAAAGGTTATTGAATCACTGAAGTATCACTGACTAATTAAAGTTGAATTTAATTAATTAATTTATTTATTTTTAATAACTCCATAGAACTTACTTTTACTTTAGTGTTTTTATTTTGCATGAAAATATGATGCAAATGAGTTAAATTGCTCTATTTGTACGGTGTGAAATTATTAAACACAAAGAAGAGTTCTATTACTTTCAATTTTTTTATAGAATTAATATTGTAATATACTGGTGTTAACTCAAGAAATTATGTCCTGATTCATGAGTACTCAATTCGCGCTCAATTTGAAATAAATTTTGTTGATACTGCTAAATAAAAAGGTTGTTTTCACATCCTCAACTTTACCATCTCATAATCATGGGATCTAGAACTTTTTATGTAAGATAGGGTTTTTAAGTGTAGTAGAATATTATATGAAGTACTCCATATATACTACTCCGTAACATATATACAAAGTATTAAAAACCGTTCATAAGAAAAGAACAAATATCACAGGACACCTTTTTAATGAATTAAAAACATGTTAAGTTAATAACTCAGTTACTCAACTATGAACATTACTTTTGTATCAAAAAATAAGAGGTCGAAAAAAAATGATGAGTAATTTCTAAAGACAGTAAAAATGCTTAATATAGATTTGAATCAAAGATGAAAGAAAATTAAAGTTAAAAGTCTCACCGCCTTGTTATCTATAAATTCTTCTTTCATACTTAACTCCAAATTTCAAATATACCTAACTTGGATTTTGGATGTATATTTTCATTTTGTGTTATTATTTTTCATTGGTTCATTAATGTACCAGCTTAAGGCACCAATAATTAGCATTGAATCTATTCTTTTCTTGAGAGGAAAGTTAGCAAAGTAAAAGACGTATTATTATGGTGAAGAAAAACTAGTACTGCGCTGAAAATATAGATTCCCAAAATTAGGTCACCTGACTGCTCTGCTAGTGGAAATCAATCCTGCTGTTTCTATCATATTCATCCTGCTACTACTACAAAATTCAATTAGACTTTAAGAGAGTAGAACTATTCAAACATACTTGTAAGAGTTTATCTAGAAGCAACCCAAATAGAAGTCGCTTTCGCTGTCGAATTTCTTAAGCTGTTAACTCTTAGAGATGTAGGAAATGAGAATGAATAATATGGTCAAACTAATTGGTTGTTAGACCATGGTCATCAAAGCAGAAGCCGAGAATTTGCACCCAAAAACTGGTGCCAATGGAGGGAGCCAGAAGCATAGAAGTTACACACTAATTGTTAGGATCATATTCCGTTGTTTCATTTTCTTAATTTTGCAGACAAAAAAGTTTACTAAAAGGTTAAGCAAAATTAATAAAATACTGAGCCAAAAAGACTGAATGGCAACATTACAACTTGATGTATCCTCAAAAATCTAAATGTGATAATTTTTCAACCTAAAGCTTAAAATTGTTCAAGGTATGATATCTTTCTCAATAAGGACTTTCCTTTAGATGGAAATATGAAGTCTGTCTAACACAACTACAATGAACCTTATCAGGTGTACAACTCTGTATCAAGCAGAGGATTCTTAAGCCAACTAGACTTCATCTCATTTTCATAGCTTGAAGAAGAGAAATCAAAACCAGGCAAGATATCCATTACCAGAAGAGATCTAACCAACTGCATCACAGGTATACCATAATCAGGCCAGGAAACGCACAAAATACCTTGGATATTCTTGATCTGGCATCGAGCCAACAGAGCAGCAGCAAGACCGTCCACCACACTTCCTGATGGGAAGTAGTCCATGTCCTTCAGAAGGGATGGTCCACTAGAGGCTTCACCAGAAACTTTTCTTTCCGAGGATGTCTCAAGCTTGTAGGCCACAGTATCATCCCTTGATAACTTCCCACGAAACTTCTGTATCTGAACAGAATCTAAGACCAATACCCTCTCTGGAACAATCTTTTCAGTGAGAAACAGTTTTGAAACAGCATGACATCTCTCTGCAGGTACATTAAACTGTACACAAACAAGGAGGACTAGCTTTTCAGTATCATTTAGTGAGTAAATATTGCAAGATTTATTCTTCAAAGAAGGTGCAATGGTGTTTCCGGAGAAAGGAATTTCAGGGAGAATGAGTGTTCCTATGAGTTTTTTAGAGGACACATGATGAAATATATGAAGAGATGGGGATGAAATGGCAAAGATAAGAAGTGAAGGACGAAGAGTTTCACTAGTATAAGGATCTGTGAGAACGATGAATGGAGTTGGAAGTGAAGGAGATGGAGGGACAAAGATGTTGAGATCCTCATCAGAGAACCTTGAAGGAGGGGGAACGTCAGTCAGCACATCATCCATGCCTTATAAAACTTGAAATGGTCACTCTGCAAATTGCAACATTGGAAAGTTAGCAAAGCTCAAAAACTTAGTGGCTAAGGGATTTATCAAAGTAATTAATAAAGCACTAAATTTATAGCATAAATCAGATTTCATAAAGTAGCAATGGTCATATAATAAAGATTAATCATTCCCTTTTGTCATAATAATCCCTCCAACTGTTAAAAAAGTATACATACTGTATAAAGTAGTCACCTTTGCTAAAATAGTACTATCATTGTCAACTTTTATTTAAGTAAGAAATAAAAAGAATAAGCGAACATAGCTTAACTTCTATTTCACACCTTTATTTTTTTACTTCCACCAAATCATCATTTAATCTGTACTCCGTAGCATTTTGAAATAATTGACTTCATACATTACCATAGACATAGAGCCTGAAAATTCTTTGACAAGGTCTAAAAATGGATAACTTCACAAATAGTCATCTGATGAAGTATAACACCATAATGTTTATAATTTCCAATACACTTTTCTTTTGTTTGATCTGAGTGAACTTATCAGGGTTCAGGGCTGGTGAGTGGTGACTAATAACACAGAAGATATAGCCCAATACCTTAACTACTGTGAATGCAAAACCAAGTTGTTTAGTTGACCTACACCAGGGAGAAGAATACAGCCAAATAAACCTCAATGACTCAATCAATAAAGTGTATTTGGGCAGTAAGCTTTTGATTGCTCCTTGGAAATCTCAATATTATTCTTCACGTCCTGAATATCTAAATCTTGTCTAATGTAACCAGTATCCATTCTGGTTTGATGGCAGGCAGGCAGCCATATTTAAGGGGTATAAACAATAAAGTCATGACACACAAATTCTTAATCTAAGGAACTCATAAATTCTATAGGCAGCTTGTGTTCATATCTGTAAAAGATACTCTACATTGTAGCAATAACTATCTAATTTCAACCATCTTAGAAAGGCACAATATTTACGAATTTATTGGTTGGGGCACTTGAAAGGAACAGCAGTAACTTGCGCAATTTGTTCAGAACAGCACCTCCACCCAATAGGGATAAATTCACATATACTATCACATCCCTGGACCTTTTATGTAATCGTATCTTCATCAAACTTAGTGGATAGTGAACCTTGCGGTCAGTAATGCTGTAGTCAAAATAGCCTAGTGAATCTCTCCCATACATCCTCTTTTTCCAACAATTCTTGCAGTTCTCATCAAAATTATATGTCCTTGAAGATTTGCAGCTTAACAAACCTAATATCACAGCCTAAAATACGATCTTGTTGAATTATGTCTCATACTTATCTCATTAATTAATTAGAATAAATCAAGCACCTAGGCCCTAGGGAATAGACTCTTTGCTAGTGCAGACTGCACATGTTTAATCCCCCACTACATCACCCTGGTGGAAGACTAGAAGCCAATTAACAAGGATTTGATTGAGAAAATTCTGTCGAAAAAATCAAGTGTACTTGAGCAACGGAATCTGTGAGCAAACACATACCACCCTCCAGGCCTACAACATCCTTGACCACTACATTAACACCAGACTTGCAACTGGCAATGCATGTTGTAACACGTGTGAAACTTTACCGCTACATACAAGACAAAAGTAACATTCATTCTAGCACATTTGCCATTATCATCCTCAACAGGGGTATCAACGATGAAATCAATACTGGTTTTCTTTTCTTTTCTATTATGTTTTTCATTGTGTGTGTACAAATCAATATGCTCCTTATAACTTGATCACCCTCATCAAAAAAGTAGGAACACACCAACAACACTCACTCCAAAAGTAAACACAAAAGGTGAGATCATTCATAGTAATAATACTCCGTAATTCAACACGACTAGTGAAGTAGACAGACAAATAATAACTCCATACCTTCTAAAACTTCATCTTCAACGCTTCTAAAATTTCTTATATCTCCTCTAAACCACCTCACATGGAACCTAATCAAAAGCGCATTTCGAGATTTGGAAGCCTTAGGCGGCTCATTTCTATAATTCTATAAACCCTTAATTTCATTTCAAACCTTTTATTTCATTTTACTCTCAATGATTAAAACTCAACGCAATTTCAAAAAATTTCTGCATTAAGAAAACCTATTTACACACATACCCAATTTAAATTCAAGCTGAAACAAACTTTTTCTACTCTTACTTGAATTTCATTATACCACAAATTGTTCAAAATAACCCAATCATGAAAACAACGAATCACCCCAATCCTCTCAATCAGAAAAATCAAGTTTATATCTCTTTCTTCTTCTTCAAGATACATAAAAATAAACAACATTTACATAAATTGATCGACTGATTTCACCAAAATCATAAAAAACCCTAAAATTGAGATCGAAACTACCTAAACAACAGTGAATGTTAAATTGAGGTAACATTGAAAACCTTAAATACTGAATTAATTGAAAATGAAAAGAGATTGAAGAGAGAGAAATACCTTGAGCTAAGGTAGGTTTTCAACGGTGATTATGACGGCGGAGAGTAGAAGAATACGGCGGCCGGAGAAGAGAAGACGACGTAGAAGAGTTCAGTGGAAGTGGAACGGAAATGGAGTACGGAGTTTAATGTTTTATTTTGGAGTATTTTTTGGGGATGGGAAAAGTGTAGCTACTCTATTTCTTAATTGCAAACTTTTTTTTTTAACTTTTTTTTTTTTTTTTTGAGAAATATTTGTTTATTGAGTTTTTTCTATACAATGTCCCTGAGGTACTGTACCCTCAAGTTACCTTTAGCGTCTACGAAGTAACCCTATCTTAATCCCTCGTTAAATTTCCGTTAACTTCAAAATAAATAAATTTAAAAAAAAAACAAAAAAAAACCCCAAACACCTCTCCCTCCTCCCTCACAACTACCCACCACTACACCTCCACCGCACCACGCACTGCCGCACCCCCAGCCGCACCACCAAGCCGTGCGCGCTCCTCTCTCCTCGACCCACCACCGCGCGCGTCACCCTCCTCTGAGTCCTCTCTCCTCTCTCAACCGAGCCACGCTCCTCTCTCCTCGACCCACCAGCCGCACCACCGCGCGCGACAGCCCAAATTTCGTTCTTCATGCCCAAATTTTCGACCAATTGAACTATATTCGTGCAGATTTTTATTGGAAAAATCAATTAAAACAAGTTTTGTGTATTTAATCTCAATCTAATTGAACCAAAATTGATGATTTAACAATTAAAATCGAATTGGGGAAAAAATTAGGGTTTTCTATTATTTTAAACCAAATTCTTTGTTTTCAAAACAAAAACAACAATTAACAACTTTTAATTTTGCAATTAGAATCTAATGCAATAAAAGCCCTAAACCAATTTGTCAAAATTTCACTTCGAATTCGAATTCCTCCATTGCCTTGTCCAACAGTTTCTTTGGTGGTGCACTAGGTGGTGACGCGCGGTGGTGGTTCGAGGAGAGAGGAGCGCGGCTCGGTGGTGCGGCTGGGGGTGTGGCGGTGGTGCGGCTGGAGGTGCAGCGGTGGTGCGGCTGGAGGTGTAGTGGTGGCTGGTGGGTAGTTGTGAGGGAGGAGAGAGGTGTTTAGGGTTTTTTTGTTGTTTTTTAATTTTTTTTTTAAGTTAATGAAAAGTTAACTTAAGTTAACGAAGGGATTAGGGCAGGGTTACATCGTAGATACTTCAGAGGTACAGTGTAGAATTTTGAAAATGGGTGGGCAAAACTTAGAAAAGTCAATACCTTAGGGGCACTGTATAGAAAAACCTTTTTTTTTTTTCAAACGCGGTAGATTTGTTAATTAAGGGGAAAAGTTACAATCTGCAACTACATACCCCTGCACATCAGCAGGGATTTCCTCCAGCCAAGCCCGCATCTCACTAAAATTATTGCTCATATTTGCAAGCTTATGAGCAACAACATTACCTTGTCTTCTAACATGGGAAAAAACTACATCATTACAAAGAGAAGAAAAAACTAAAATGTCATTAACTATACTCCCAAACAAAGTAGGATCATGCAAATTTTTCTACAGGTGGTTTGCTAATTTTAGACAGTCAGTCTCAAGAATCAAGTTCCTGAGTCCTGTATCAATTGTAATCTGGATAGCATGTCTAGCACTTAGAGCTTCAGCCACATCAATATCAACACTCATATTCATCTTCATACATGTCGCGGCTACCACATCGCCTACATGATCACGGACAACTCCTCCCAAGCCAATACCTCCCCCCGAAAAAACAGTTGCATCACAATTAATCTTATATGTTCCAGCAGCAGGAGGATGCCACTTTAGAGGAGAAGAACAAACATCTTTCTTCGAACCTCTGCTCTCCATAGCCTTCTCATATTCCCCCTTATAGCCCACAGCCTTGGAGATTACTTCCACGAGACCCATTTTCCTCTTATAAAAAATCCACGCATTGCGTCTCTTCCAAATGGTCCAACTCAGGCACCAAAATAAATTCCACCATTGATCATCATACCGCATCTTCGTAAGTGATTCGACCCAGTCATGGAAACTAAGGGTGTTCGTTCGGTTTTCGGTTTGGATTTAGTCCAAATCCGATCCAATCCGAAATATAATTCGGTTTTCAATTTTCCAATCCGATCCGATCCGAATTTCTCTCTTGATCCAATCCGATCCAATCCGAATTACAATTCGGTTATTTGGATCCGATCCGAAAATCCGAATTATAATACATTATTTTTTAGCGCCTAATACAATTATAAAAATAAAGCTTTACTATAAATAAAAGTCTTCAAAATCATGATTAAAATACATAGTTCAACGTCAAGTCATTAATTAATTAATACAAAGTCTCTCTAATTTATTTTATGTAGTATTAAGTATTTGAGTTAAACTTCAAAATATACAGAAATCCATATTTATACAAGCTTAATTTTACAATTCGGTTTTCGGTTTGGATTGGATCCAATTAGGGTTAATCCGATCCAATCCAAAAATCCGAATTTCCAAAAAATCTCAATTCGATCCGATCCGATTTAAAGTTCGGATCCGATCCGAATTGATAATTCGGTTTGGATTGGATTGGATTTCGGTTTTTATCCGAATTATGGACACCCCTAATGGAAACGAATATTCTGAAAATTACTCATATCAATCCGGAGAGGGGAGTAGTACCATATCCTACTACTCTCAGGGCAGAACATCAACAAATGCTCTAAGCTCTCCTCTTCGTTTCCACACATCGGGCACACCTTGTCAACTTGGACACCCCTCTTCACAAGAGCCTTCCTGACATGAAGACCACCATGGGCTGCTCTCCACCCGAACATCTTAACTTTAGGTGGAACACAAGCATTCCACACTTTACACCAGATCAGCTTTCTCGTTACCAAGGAAGGAGAGGCATTGTTAGACCTTTTACTCTTCAACTCCACATAATAAGCACGTAATTCTCACAGAGAAGTACCCATTGTTACTAAAATGCCATGTCCAAAAATCGCTTGAATTATGCCGAGGTAAAGGGATATCCTTAATAGCTTGAGCTTCCCGATCTGAAGATAAAACTTCAATTTCGCTATCCTTCCAAGCCCCATTATCAATTAACTCATAAACAAGCTTAGGCCCTTCATAATCAGCTCCCATATTTCTTGGCAGAATTCTAAAACCTGGAAGCCCAGGAACCCAAGGATCGGACCATATATTCGTACAGCCTCCATCTCCAACAACTCTTCGAGCTCCCTTAGTCACCAAATCCCTGGCAGCAAAAATAGATTTCCATGTATAGCTAGCATTAGGACTCACTCTAACATCCAAAAAGCTTTTTGAAGGGAAGTACTTCCCTTTAAGAACCTTCACCATGAGGGATTTTGTGTTATTAAGAACTCTCCACGCTTGTTTGGCGAGAAGAGCTTTATTAAAAGCTTGAAAATCACGCACCCCCATACCTCCTTCTTTCTTCGAAAAATACATCTTCTCCCAAGCCACCCACAAAAGCCTCCTTTCCTCCTTTTTCTGTGCCCAAAAGAAATTTCTACACATTCGCTCAATTACATCAGTGATGCTCTTCGGAATCAAAAAGCATTGCATAGCATATATAGGAATCGCTTGAGCCATCGCTTTGATTAACACCTCTCTTCCTGCTTGTGACAAAAAATGTTCCTTCTATCCTTTAATCTTTTTCCAAACCCGGTCTTGAATAATCTGAAAAACCCTCTTTTTAGAGCTTCCAATGTAAGTCGGAAGTCCTAAATATTTTTCATGTCCCTCCACTGCCTTAAACGATAACTTCATCTGAAGCATATTAACCTTTTATGGATCTAAATTTCGGCTATAGGACATCTCGGATTTTTCCATATTCAGTTTCTGGCCAGAAGCAGCCTCATATATAAAAAGAACCTCAAGCATATTGTCTACTTCCTCTTCGGTAACTCTAATAAAAAGTAAGCTATCATCTGCAAAAAAAAATAAGTGAGAAATCGGACTAACTTTCCTCCCGATCTTCATCCCATGGATCAATTTTTTCTTTTCTGCTTCTCTAATTAAGGTCGACAACCCTTCATCCTACATCACAAAAAGAAAGGGAGAAATAGGGTCACCTTGCCTGAGTCCTCTGGTCGGAAGAAATTTTTTTGTCGGTTAACCATTAAGCAAAATTGAGAAAGAAGCCGACGTCACACATCTCATTATAGTGCTTGTGAATCTAGGAGGGAAACCAAGTGTGCCCATCATTCCTTCCAAAAAATTCCATTCCACCCGATCATAAGCTTTACTCATGTCGAGCTTGAGCCCCAGATATCCCATTTTTCCTTTCTTCTTTTTCCTCAAATAATGAAAACATTCATATGCCACCAAAACATTATCATTAATAAGTCTACCCGGAACAAAACCACTTTGAGTCTAATCAATAACCTCCGGAAGCACCAATTTTAATCTATTCTCCAGAACTTTGGAGACAATTTTATATAAGACATTACAAAGGCAAATTGGTCTAAAATCAACAGGAGACTCACTTGTCTTTTTTTCGGAATAAGAACTATATGAGTCTGATTAATAGAACCAATGTCATCCACATTATTCATTAAATTTAACACCTTATTAGTAACATCATCACCAATTGTACTCCAAAAAGTTTGGAAAAAAAGAGCATTCATCCCGTCTGGGCCCGGAGCTTTCAATGGATGCATTTGGGAAATTGCATTAGCCACCTCTTCACGTCGAAATGGAGCCTCCGGTGCAGCATACATATTATCATCAACTTTTGGCTTCGCCAAATCTGTCACAGGATGGGGGTCATTTATATTACTCGAAGAGAAAAGAGTCTCAAAGTAATTGACGAAAACCGCAGCAATTTGTTCCTCTTCCTCATATAAATTCCCTGCCTCATCTTTAATCATTGCAACACAATTTCTTTCTTTCCTCTGATTAGCTTTTTGGTGAAAGAAATTTGTGTTTTTATCACCACATTCAAGCCAAGTTTGTCTGCTCCTTTGATGCCAATACATTTCTTCTCTGTGCTCCAACTCATTCATTCTGCAATCAAGGGCTCTCATCTTTTCTATTACCTCCTCAGACTGAGTACACTCAATCAGGTCCTTCATTTCATTCTGGCATTCCCGTATCTCTTTTGTTGTATCCCCAAAGGTTTTCCTGCTCCAAGAACGCAGACTACTAGCAGTACAAGCCATATTCATACACATATCATCTGAGGGAATCCAAGCTCTATTAACCACATCATTGCTTGTATCATCTTGCAACCACATTGCCTCTAATCTGAACAATTTCTACTTCTTTTTATTCTTTGTACCACTAGGACATGAAAGAGAATAGGGATATGGTCTGACTTCCTTTTAGTGAGATGAGTAACAAACGAGCCCGGGTACGCCGTCTTCCAGGATTGATTAGCAAAGAATCTATCCAATCTTTCCTGAATATTAGCCGTACCTCCCCTATTATTATTCCAAGTGTACTCATGACCTATGAAGCCTAGGTCCATGAAACCACACTTATCTACTGCCTTCCTCAAGTACTCTGCTTCTTGCACATTAAAATCATCTTTACCCTTCTTCTCACTAGCCACCAACATCAAGTTGAAGTCCCCTCCACACAACCATGGAATCATTCTATCTTCTGACAACTCTTCCATAAGCAAACCAGTGCGAAATTTATTTTCCTCTTCCGGATGTCCATAAATACCAATGAAGCGCCAATCTCCTTTATTTCTATCTTTAATCATTGCATCAATGTGATTACAAGAAAATATTTTAATGTCGACAATCACCTCTTATCCCCACATTAAAGCTAGCCCACCACTCCTCTTTCTCCCTTCTCCCCTGCAATCAACAACAATCATATTGCTGAACCGCACCTTCTTCTTCACCCGTTCCATCTCAAAGTCTTTCAATTTTGTCTCCGAAAGGAACACAAGTTGGGGATTTTCGAAAGAGATAACTCTCTTTAAAGCACTAACTGCAGAGGGACTCCCCAACCCCCTACAGTTCCATGATAATATGTAACTCATTGACTCGTAAGAGCCAATTTGTGGGGCTCGCCACATTCTCATTCAGCATCGCCTTCATATTATCATTTTCCTTCGAAGCTCCATCCTCCAGTAGCTTCAATTTTTTCCTACTCTCAACCTCCATCTCCTTCTCTCTATCCTCCTCCTTACGTTTCCCTCCCACACTATTGTTGTATTCATTCACACTACGCATCACAGAGTCACTATTATTGCGTATTGTGACCTTTTTTAATTTACGCATAGCTGTACCAAACTGAAAAGCCAAAGCAACATCATTTGGCTCCTCCCTGCTGCTTCCCTCACCATCTAGCATCTTCCTCTCATCATGCTTCATCTTCCCATCAGATTCAATCACCCCATCATTCTTCCCTTACTCCTTCCCCCTCTCATGAACATCTTCAATGGGTTGTCTAAGACTCCCACTAGTAGAATAAACTTGATGGGCAGCCACAAATGGCAAGCGGTTATTGAATTCCGCTTGCCAAATTGTAAATGGCAAGCGGTTTTGGATGAACCGCTTGTCAAAATGCCAATGGCAAGCGGTTTTGGATGAACCGCTTACCAAAATGTAAATGGCAAGCGGGTTGAGCATTGAACCGCTTGCCATTTGGTCAGAAAAACCCTAGAAAATTAAAACCCACTAGCTCACGGCCTCATCTTCTCTCTCCTCAGTCCCCTTTCCCCTCATTTTCACGCTCTCTCTCCTCTGATCTATCCCCTCATTTTTTCTCTTTCCTCTCATTTTCACGCTCTCTCTCCTCTTTCTCCCCTCCATTACGCCTCAGTTCTTTCTCCTCTATCTCCCCTCCATCCTTTATCTTCTTCTCTTATCTCCTTTCTCGGCCTTCCTTCTTTCCTTTCTCACGCCTCACCACAACGAAGAACGACGGACACATATCTCACGCCTCACCACAACGAAGAACGATGAACGCCTCAGTACCCAACGACGAGAATGAAGAAAACGTTTGGGTTCAGTTTTTCGGCTCGGCGTTAGGGTTCAGATCGCTGCTTCTCAAGTCATATCTCACTTGATTTTCCGGTATTTCATTAAATTTTTAGCTAATTTTTGAGTTTTTGCATATATTATGTTTGCGTATAATTTAAAATCTGAACCCGGTATGTTTGTGTATAATTTTCGAGTTTTTAGCTTTAAAATTTTGTTGTTTATAATTTAAGATCTGAACTCGGTATGTTTGTGTATAATTTTCGAGTTTTTAGCTTTAAAATTTTGTTGTTTATAATTTAAGATCTGAACTCGGTATGTTTGTGTATAATTTTCGAGTTTTTAGCTTTAAAATTTTGTTGTTCATAATTTAAAATCTGAATTTTTTTTTTTTTTTTTTTACACAAAAGATCTGAAATTAAGTTAATAATTATTGTTGTTTATTTTTTCAATTTATTGTTTGGCAGATACGGTGAATCGGGATAGGGTGGTGGTGGTAATACGGGTTAATTAAGGTGGTTGGTGGTGGCGGCTGGTGGTGCGCGCGACTGGTGGTGTGCACGGCTGGAGAACAAGAGCAGCATTAGTTTTAATATGCTTGTTTTTTTTTATTATTTTTTTTATGAAAATGTAATATTACAACAATTAATTAATAAAAATATTAATGTTTTTGCATATATTATGTTTGTGTTTCAATTTAATTGAAAAAACTAAATTTTTTATTTTTTTATTTTTTATACCTATAATGGGCAGCGGTTTGGCGCCAAAACCGCTGCCCTTTCACTACAAATGGCAAGCGGTTCTGAACCGCTTGCCATTTAAAAGGCTAATGGCAAGCCCCCCAATGGCATGCGGTTCAAAACTGCTTCCCATTAGGGGGTTTGAACCGCTTGCCATTGTGTTTATTCTACTAGTGTCCCCTGCCCCTCACTACTCGTAATTTTTCCTTGCCTCTCACCAGGTTTATTTTGCTCTTGTAAACGAGTGTTCCTAGCAATGAACAATTGTTTAGCACAACTTCCTTCATTCGTAGTCCGATCAGGAGTATTCTCCTTTGAGACTTTCCATGGTGAAGAAACTCTTAATGCATCACTAAAATTCCTTCGAAGGATCACATCCCCTATATTCTCATCACAATCTTTTTTCACCATGTCCAAGTTTACCACATATGTAACAAAATAGCGGCAATTTTTCATATTTCACCTCCTCTTCTGTTTTATCTCCACCCCTCATCTTCAAGTTGATTTTATTTTTTAGGGCTTTTCGAGCATCTATTAGAATCCTAATTCTGAGCGATTTATTAATCCCACTCGAACCTTCCTTATCAAGACACATAAATGTCCCCAATTTATCACCAATTGCTTTTGCATTCGACAAATTGCTCCTCCCCATAAATGGAAGGTCATACACCCTAACCCACAATGGTATTAAGTGCAAAAAGGAATTTCAGAGGGTTTACTATCTCCTTGTGCATCATTCAGTACTAGAGCATGTCTATCGAAGTGCCATGCATGGTTGCATCTCCATGACTTGGTATTTGGGTTCCATAATCTCTTCATCATATTCATAAGAGCATTCGCATTGACATGTCGATCAGTCAAGACCCTACCCACCACGCCCAGAGCAACTTTTGATTCCTCTTCATCTTCTCCTTCCACAACCCACTCTATATCTTCCTCCTCATCGCTAATCACTGTTCTATTCTCCTCTCCATCTTTGATTCTACTATTCTCTGCCATCATCAATCTCGGAGAACCGAGATCGCAACCTTCAAAAAAGGAAAACCCTAGCCGAAAAAACTAGAAGAACAGCCCTCCCAAGAGTCGTTGCTCTAGAGGGGAAAAAAGTACTTGCTATTCTAGACATGAGGAATTTGTTACCGTAGTTTTATGCCTTTTTCTTTCTTTTTTGTGTGGCAATTTTTTTTTTCTTGGAAAGTTAAAAAATCATCAATATACAGTTTTTTTTTTTATGAAAAAATCATCATATAATAATTTAGAAATTGAAATACAAAGCGAACAAAAACGAAATCGTATAAATAAGTTTTGTTTTTTTATCAATTGTGGGCCTTTGAAAAAAAAAAAAATACATTGGCAACATTAGCAAGTAAAGAAATGTATATCAAATTATCAATAATGGCTTAAAATCTTAAATCATTAAGGTTAGTGAATTGTTTTAGATTAATCAAGGTGTCAAACTTGAGTTTTAGGAACGCAGTACTTGTTGAAAGAGTTTTTTGTTTTGTTTTTTTTTTTTCTCTCTCTCTCTTAATTGGAGTTTGTTTAAGCTTGAGATTAGATTAGTCAGAATCTAATAGGCTATACATTACGAGATATGCCTACCTTTTTTTTTTGGTCAATTTTTCTTGAACTACTACGTATTATATTTAGGAAATGCAAGAGTATACTACCTTTCTAGATGTAAACATAAACAACTAATTTAGGATATACCCCAATTTTTCAAGGCATTCTATAAATAGAAGTGCATGAGACTAATTTTTTAGGGATCCATCTTAATTACTCTTTTTTAGGGATCCAAACACTTCACTTTTCGTATCAAGCGAAGTTTGGTGGAGTTGTGAAAACTCATATTGTAACTTTGAGGTCACAAGTTTAAGCCATACCAACTACATTTCCTAAAAATTAAGGGATTCCCTCCCTCCCTCCCCCTACTCTCAAGGACTGACCTGCGGAGTTAGGCTGACTTAACCTGTAAAAGGTGATAGTTTGGTAATATAAAGTTCTTCATCTTACCTTTAAGAGAGAGAGAGAGAGAACTTTGCACTTTTCATCCTGCACAGGCTTTAATCTTACAATCCCTTTCATCTTAGGTAGCTATTCTTGTCATACTAACCTTATCAAGACGCATGCATATCGGTATACTCGACCTTTGTTGCTTGCTTTAAGGTTCACTAACATAGAAGAGAGAGCGCAAGAGTGCAAGACGGAAATAGATTAGCAATTTACAATTTTACACTGTCCCACAATCTTATTGGATTCAGTAATATCAAATAATAGAATAAAGTTACTTGGAAAGTCAGAGACCTTCAGTACACTAAATTATGTTACACTTGAATACTGCACAAGATGGCTAAGACCTCGAATGTCTTTGGTTATATGTGGGAAAACTGTTAAGTGTTAACTATCACAAAAAAAAAAAAAAAAAATTGCTATGAATTGCTCAACTGTTGGAACAAAAGATTACAAGAAAGGTACATCTTGAAACTCTAGTTGTTGAAAAGAATCCCTTGAATGCAGCGCCTCAAACTCTCTTCAAGTCGAGGGTTACATTAGTTTGGTTTAATGGCTAATATGCAAATCGTATTGCCACTTTAGTATGCCCTGTACATGAATAGCAAACTGCAAGTTGTCAGTAAATAATAACCTAAGCAGAAAATGGTTTTCGAAGAAAATCATATGCTTACAGCATAAGCCCTTAACTATGAGGCAAGATGGTGAACAGCTAAATTGGCAGTCCTTCCCCAAAGTCCACACAAAAATTAAAGAGAACAGAAAGAGGAGAGAAAAGGGAAAGGAAATACAGCATACATGCTACCTCAGCAACATCTGGTGTTATGATTCCTTTTAGATCAATCTTCGTGTTCGTCTTCAGAATCTACAGAATAACAATAATAGCAATCAGAATATCGTTGACAGTGACAGAAACAAGAAATGCAGACAGATTTGATAATTGATATTAAAGATGTATACGACAAATAATTTGCATTGGTGGCATGAGTTTCGATGCAAAATTTAGAAACCCTTGTGGTGGGAGCTTATTCATAATTTTGCTTTGAACATCTCAATCTACGCTATCAAAGGGAACAGGAGGAGGAGGGCATGAGAAGGGAAGGGACACACAATGTAAGTTGAAAGAACCTAGGCAGTAATTGAGGTGCGGTGGGGCAGAAGCAATCTAACTATGGCAGGTCTATACAATCTGTTCAACAGTAATCAGGGAAGGGGGAATTGGTGGGGATCGTTTAGAAAGTTATAAAAGGTGGGTAAGCAGGTAAGTGGAAGTATTTTGGTCAAAAAGAGAGACTGCCTTTCCAAAAGTGATACTCTCTCCGTTCTCTGTTGTTCTTCCTTCAATATTTTCAATGCCAACTTTAATCATGCATTTGTTACGAGTCTCACGATTCACGAATCTGACAAGATCCCACATGATGACATGATATAATTTCTTTATATAAGTTGGTGCACAGTTTGATTGTAATTGAGATATTCCTTCCAAGAAGAACAAATAGGAACGGGGGGAGTACATAGCAACTGAATTTAGATGAGCATAGATGACATTTGTAGGATTGAAACAAGTTGAGAGGAGAAAGAAAACAAAGCCAAAAATTTTAAAATAGCTGGCGTCGGTAGCATGAACCAAGAATTTATTCCCTATATCCACAAATACAGTCTTCCTCCAACAGCTTGTTTTGACTGCCAAATTCTCTTGCAAACCCACTTTATTCATGTCTTTTTAAACACCCTTCAATCAAGTCATCTTTAACTTCCCTTAACTTCTCTTGAAATCTTCATTATCCCAATCCTCCACCTTACTTACAGGTACATCCCCTAGTTTACATCCCACATTCCTTAAAAGACCTAAACAAACATAGTTGATTATCCCTTTATAATATGCAAGATTATTCCTTAAGGTGTTCTCACACATTCATCTACATACACAACCCTGATATACCAGTCTTCTTAAAATGCTCCTTAGAAGGTCAATATTTTTGCCACAAATAATAATGCCAACCTAATTGACTGAAGTATAAGATCACACAACAATAAATCCGACAACTCGTCAATCACCCCAAAGTCCCAGACTTAGGGCCTATTCCGATTCACTGAAATCAACTGGATAGAGCTGAAATGAATTGTTAATGAGAGAAGGAAATTAGGATTGAACTGAAGTAATTGGAGCTGAACTAAACTGAACAGAACAGAACAGGCCCAGCCCTTAACCTTCTTGATTTGCCAGATTAAGAGTTAAGGACAATGACGGGAAATATGTCAAAGGTGTCATTATCATGCTTCTAAGCATGCTTTTGATGGTCAATAGTTGAAATGAAGGATGTGCATCACAAAAGGGAAAATGAATCAAACTGCACCTCCAAATCACAGTTTAAATATCAGCAAAATGCTCCTGAAAGTCCTCTGTGCTCTACAAGCAAAGAATTAACAGTAAGGAGTCCAATAGTCCATCTACGTAAAATGAGATGGGTATAGTTCCTGATCTGAGAACCAAAATAGTATAACAAAGTCTTTTCTATTTAAATTACAAGTGTGCACTGAAGCCAAATCACTTTCCCTGATAAAACATAAGATGAGTAAAGATTCATTTAAAATTTCTGAAAACTTTGAAGACAAATCAGTAATCTCTGTAAGAAATGCCTATCCACCCATGTAATATGTATATATTTGATCGGTTGTGGGAAATCTCACTGATCAAACTTTAGCAATCTCACATACTAGAGCTTTATGGTGACAGTTCATCATGCAATAAGAACCCAAATACTACCTTCGTTACATATTATTTGCAACGATTTGACATAAAGTAGAGAGGAAAAATGTCTAATCGTTGCAAATAATATGTAACGGAGGTAGTATATAGATACCGACCATCTGCATTAGCAATCTTTATATAAAAAGATAAATAATATTATCCATTTATCATCATAAACTGTCATTAACCCAGTATTATCATCAATATACTTCAATGCTTCATATTAAAAAAAAACTAAGGGTTCCAGGGTTACTCCAAAACATTACCTGAAATCTAAAAAGATGAAGCCCATGATATAATCTTCATCTAAACAAGTCATATTTCTTGACTATTCATTAACAACTTTCATGCTCCCCATACCCAAACAACTCAATCAGAAATTCTTTTTTCGTACTCCATAATTTTTTTTTTTAATGGGTCTAGAAACTTAACAATGGATCATAGACACAAACATTTGTGGATGCACCAAAATAAAAAGAAGCAAAGAAATACTCATTAATGCATATTACAATTTCATTTTTGCCGCTATCCAAGTTGTGGATTTGAACTTGAATGTTGATATCGGATCTAGGAAAAAGTAACTGATGGCTACTAATTTCATTATGGCGGTGAACATGAAAAAAACTCCACCAAAGGAGGAGGGTTACAGAAGGCCAGTGTACAACTTTGTCACATCGCTTGACATGAACCACAATGATTGAGAGTAGTAATAGGATGGATGAGCTCGTGGGAAGTCTTCAAGTTGGTTAATGTAGCCAACCCCACTTAAAGGACTAAAGATGTGTTCTATCCTGATTTTCACTTATGTTAACAAAACTAAACTTATATGAACTTATTTTTCCTGAACTTAACTAAACTTATAATAACTTAGGGTGCGTTCTATTCACCTCTTATCTGAACTTATCTTAACTTATCTGAAATTTATCTGAACTTATTAGTCTTAATTAGAACTTATTTTAGTCATAAATTAAACTTAGGTAGCCCTCATGAACCCTTATCACAAGTTCACAACTTATCAGAACTTATCTAAAGTTCTAAACTTATTTTTTTCTAGAAATAAGTGGAAATAAGGTGAACACAATAGGGCCTTGACTTAACTTATCTGAACTTATTAGGCCTAAAATAAGTAAAATAAGGTGAACACACAAGCCTTAAGGCATTCAAGTAGAAGAATGAGGTGAACATGGCATAGAAGTATCTTCTTCGTATTTATAAATGCATGATAACACAGAACCTTGAGTGAAAAATTTTAGACAAAGAATACGAGGACAAGAATGAGAAACGTTCTTTTCTTAATATAACTAAATGCGAGATAACACAGATCTGCAAGTGTTTTACACTTTTACTACGTTTTCATAAGTGTTTTTTCCATTTTCTACGCACCAAAAGGAATGTTGTCATTCTCAAAAGCTTTCCAGGGAACAAAATAAAAGGGGGGAAAAAAGCCAACTCTGATGGTTGTTATGGTGTTCATCATAGCTAGTCAGCATAGAACCATACAAACACTGGCTTGGTTACAGTTTCAGAGAATGAGCAAAATTAATTTAAGAAATTTAGCAAGAAGCTTACCTGAACGAACATCGTCACTTAGCTGACCTCTAGCTTGGACTTGCTTCACAAGCATTCGATACATTAGCACCCACCAATAAATATGAAGAACAAGCAAGCAGTACAGGAGAGTGTTGAACAAGTAGTAATAAATAGGTCCCTCTATTGGATGTTTCGACTTATCAACTGACTGGATAACTTCATAGCTGTCATACAAAAGAGAAGACATGTATTTACTATATATAGGAGGGGAAATAATCAAGAAACCGAAGTAGCTGGAAGCCTGGAGCAAGAGCAGCTATAACAATAACAAAGAAGCAACAACATGCACCCCTTATCTTCAATAAAGAAGACATCTCCCAAAAGCCCCTTAAAGGAAACAATTTCAGAATATATGAAAATACTATATAGTAAAGATTCAGTAATATTCCTGCCTTCAGCCCAGAATATGTGATCCAGACATAATCTTTATAAGTTAGAAAACAAGGAATCTGTAATTTAAACAATAAGAGAATAAAGTAGACAGAACTGGAGCAATAAATTTTTTTTTTAAAAAAAGAGTGAATGACTCGGCTACTTTGTCCAGAAAAAATGGCAGGGCCATTGGACTTCAATCATTAATTCATAATTATAGGTCAAGAGGTTTTTAAATTCAGTAAATTAAGGATATGTACTCTTCACCTTAAATAAGAGCCTTGTTTGGCAAGTGGCTGTTGGCTGGTTCACTTGGCTTGTTAGACCAACTGGTATGTTTGGCTGTTTATAATGGCTTTTGAAATTGGTTGTTAAAGCTGGCTGTTTATAAAAGTATTTGGTAAATTAATTGTTGGTAGTTGGCTGTTTATTAGATAATTTGTGGGCCAACAAGCCAACAAAAAAGCTACTCAAAGCAACTTTTTCATTTTGGCTTAAAAGCCAGCTTTTTCACTGGCTAAAAAGCCAATTACCAAACACATTTTTTGGCTGTTTGACCCCATAAAAAAGCCAAAAGCCAAAAGCCACCAAAAAGCCATTTACCAAACATGGCCAAGGTGTCCTGATTCTAGGCTGATCTGAATCATATTGCTTTGGTTTATTCTGACCTGATGTCCAGGTCTAAATAAATTTTGACCATTTAAACTAGCATATAAAGAGAAAAGGAAAGAAAGAAAGACGGAAAAAAAAACATTATCAAGTGGGATCATGTTGGATTCGTGCATGTATAATCCAAATTTTTAATATTCACAATTTATATTATTACTCAACTATAAATATTTAGTAATAACTAAACCAGATTGAAGCTCTGGTGTGATTCTTTTTGGTCTGCTTAATCTGATCTGATTATGAGAAGAACAAGTTTATGAAGTGAGGTAAAGAAGACTGATTTTCATAAACAAGTGAATGTGTCAAACAACTAACCTTGTACTCCAAAGAATCCAAATTGGGTAGTATATGAGGCGGAGCAAGATCCAAGATATAACAAAGAAAATGAAAAAGACGCTAGCAATTGCTTCAAAACCACTGTATTTCGACATCTTCCCAACCTCAAGAAACACGTCACTTGCATCATGGAGAGCTAAGATCATCGAACCAGCTCGAGCAAATCTGCACATTCAAGAAAATAAATAAATAATAAATAAATAAATTGGCACAAAAACATGAGATTTGCATGCTCAAGCACATCTAAAATGTAGTCAAAGCTGTATTTACTACATTCATATTAAGATACCCTGATATAATTAATTCTCAATGTTTACAAGATGGTATTCCCTTTGAAGCACATAATGATAATGTTACTAGTTCATAATAGCAGCATGGAGCACTGTTACTTTTGATGAAGCCATATTTAACTTCCACTTCATTCATGCTAAAACAAATGCCTCCTATGTAGTATATACTACGACAAGTATTAACATCATCATTATCATCAACAACAACAACAAAGCCTTAGTCCCAAAATGATTTGGGATTGGCTAACACGAATCTTCATAAGGAACGTCGATAGAAAAAAGGACATAACAAAATAACCAGTTTGAAAAAAGGTGTACAAACAGAAAAAAAAAAAATAAAATAAATGAGCATCCAAGTAAAATTTAAGAGAGTTTTAAAAGCGTATCAAAAAATAAAATGTAAGAAAGTTTTAAATGAGTGATAAAAACAAGTGAGTAAAAAACATAATGGTTTGAGAAAACTTAAGCAAAGAACTCAATACAGTTCATAAAACAAAATTGAGTGAATTAATACAAGTAAAAGTAAATGCTAAGATTAGTGGAGAGAGTGGCAAAGTTCACTAAAATTGCCAACTCTTTCTTATCGTCAGGGAATAAGTGGAGAGAGTGGCAAAGTTCAAGAGAAAACCTCCTTTTAAAAGCAAGTTGGTTTTATGCTGTGAGGGTCAGTCATCAAAGCAGATTATTCATTATAAAAAAATTATGAATTGTTAAGCTGGAAAGATTTCATAAAAATTGGTCGACGGATTTTCAGCTTTGAGTTTATGAATTCAAGCAGATTCATATTAGAACTTCTTTCCTACCAAGGATATTTGATGTCTGCAGCTCCAGCTAAAGATCACCTTTCTCCAAGGTAGCAGCCAAGGGGAATATTCAGGTAAAGAATTTCAGTGAAGCAAGAAGATAGATTTTAGTACAGAAAGTAAAAGCTACGGAGTATTAGAGTTTCTCTTCATTTGAAACTTCATTGGGTTAGACCACAAATTCCAATCTTTTTCTGTTGCCTTGGACAATAAGGATGGAAACACAATGGCATACAGGTGCTGATGGAGATAAGTACCTTAAAACCCAGCATAATAATATAATATCACAGCCATTTACCTTTTGATAGCTGAGTCTGCATAAGATCCCCACTACAATATTATTCTTCCTTTTCCCTAACCCCTTAATTGTCTAAGTGTAATCAAAGAAAGAGAGAAAAGACTGGAGAGAAAGACAAGTAGAAAATGTCTGTGAGAAGCTTTAAGTGGGGGCATCTATCAAAAATTTCAAAAAAAGATCAAGCACTTAGACCCTGAATTCATTGACCTTCAATTAGGAGGGTCGTAAGGCTCATAACCTGTTATCCCATTTCCAACTCATATGGAAACTCCTGTCATGAGAGTATCAGGTCAGCACGGTACATGCCTTTGTTCATAAAAATAAAAGTTGGAGCATCATTAAATTGAAATTTGAAAGCAAATTTTCTTTTCAAGCTAGTGATGCATGTGGATGGAATCAATCAAAGCCTTAATCCCATAAATGGGGTCGGCTACATGAACCAAAAGTGATTATTGTGTGTAGTCATTGACAAAAAATCTTCCTACTCCACTCGTTACGATCCAATGTCTCATCCTCATGCAAATCCATATACTTCATATTCTCCCTGACTCCTTCCAACCAACTCATTTTCAGTCTCCCTCTCCCTCGTTTATCCCCTCCATGGTCCCACTCTTCCACTCTTCGTACCGGTGCACCCACGAGTCTCCGCCGTATATGTCCAAACCAACGCAGACAATTTCCCCTTAGTTTGTCAGCAATGTCTGTCACGCCTACTTTCTTGCAAATAACCTCATTTTTTATTCTATCTCTTACAATGTTCCCACACATCCACCTGAACATGCGCATCTCCGTAACCTTCATCCTTTTAATGTGCTTCTTTTTAAAAGCCCAACATTCAGTACCATAAAGCAACACTGGTCTCATAGCATTTTCCCTTCAATTACAAGGGAAGGCTTCGGTCACATAGCACTCTCGTGGCCGCTATCCATTTAAGACACCCCCCCCCCCTCTTTGCGCCACGTCTTGATCAACATTGCCATTTTTCTAGACGATCGACCCAAGATATTTAAAATATTCACTCATGGTCAAGTCCTTTCCATCCAAACTCACCACATCATCACTTGTCCCCCTCAGAGTACCAAAGCGGCATACTAAATATTCAGTCTTACTCCAACTTAGCTTAAACCCTCTAGATTCCAACCTTTGGCTCCATCGCTCCAATTTGGCATTTACCCCATCTTAGTTTCATCCACTACATGGAAATTACTAACAAATTATGAAGAGAAAGCTTTGTCATCAGAATTTGAGGTTTTCTGTTCAATGGTAGTTTTGTTGCTACATTACCTTATAGAAAGGGCCAACTGGCAAAGTGCTTAGTCAATTGCCTACTCTAGAATTTTATACACACATTTTTATATAAATCTTTAGAATGAATGATAGTTGTTATGCATGAAACTCAATAGGATCAATTGCATGAAATTTAAATTGATGTTATCTGGTGCAGAAAGTTCAAGGCAGCAATTTTGGAAGCACGTGATTTAGAAGCAGAAAAATTAAAAACTGTTATCAAATTTGGACTACATTTCAAGAAATTCAGAAGGTAAGCAACAAAGAGGTGAAGATTGAGAAGCGTAATATGTTCCCTAGAAAACACAGAAGAATATGTAGTTCATTGCAGTTGCAAGTCTGCAACTAAAAGATATAGCTTTCAAAGTACGGCACAGAGTGCTGCGGAGCTCGATGGCTCAAACAACAACGAAGTATGATTACTTTAAAATGGTGGTAGATGAGATGACTTGGGGGGAAGAGGGGGGGGGGGTGGATAATGCAGATATCCTGAAAGTAGCAAGAATATATGAAATTGCTCCTTATGACGATTCAGGTTAGACGACCACAAATCATTTTGAGACTAAGGATTTGTTGTTGTTGTTGTTGTTGTTGTTGTTGTTTATAACAAGAATCGCTCCTAAATATGCAGTAACTTGAGACTGAAAGATGGACTTGACCATACACTCATACGGCCATACATCATTGATCTCTTACGGAATATTACTCCTTGAGAATTTTAATAACAGCAATAAAATGGCATAGCCAAAGCATAAGTTGGGAAAATATTGTTTAGGTTTATCTACTTTCTGCAGTTTAACCTTTTCTTGTTTTCTGTTCCTTTTTCAAGTAATCCAGAGAGGGGTGTGGATCAATGCATCTAAGACATATCACGAATGTAAAAAGATATCAATACGAAAAGCACAGTTTATTGATTATCTATTCTAATTACAACAATATTGGGTAATCTTGTTCAAATCTACCCTTAACTTACCCCCTTCAGCTACCTATTAATATACTACATCTTTCCAATTCCACCCAATAACAAAATCTATAAGATTGAATTATATTTGTACCAAAATGACATTGTTCCTTTTATAAGTCTGCAGATAATGAAAAAACCCAGTGATATTGACCTAAAAGTGGCAGTGTCTAATTAACACAGGTTTATTTTTAGTAAAGAATAAACGTGATAAACTACAGGTGGTTTGTAAAACAAACCAAGTTATTATAATTTGGCAAATAATTCCATGCAACAGAACCATCAAGATACTGCATTTCAATAAGACTGAACAGTCTGAAACGCAATATGTATGTAAGGAATAAACTGTCAGAAAATATACCTGGCAGTATAAGACAGAACAATAAGAATGAGAGTTGCAACATGATGCCCCATCGAAACACCAAAGTCAGAACGCCTTGTTTCCCAAAAAATAAGTGCAAAGATTGAATATATATAGAACCCAGCTGTATACATATAAAGGCCTTTCAACTTCATCCTGCATAGAGAACAATAAGAGAATGCATACAACATAAAGCTTTGACAAGGAAGCAGAAAAGTGGCCATAGAAGAGAGTAAAGTATCTTACTTTGTTTTCTGGTCAGGCCAGATCTGATCACCAGGTCCCACCCAAAAATATTTTGTCTGGGTGAACCAAGGCTCACTATAAGTCACAGAAAGAGCAAGAATTTCTGCAGACAGATAATACACACATTTCCAAGCTGATTCCTTGAACTTTCTTAGCTTCTTCTTCCCATCAGCATCACCATCTTTTATATGATAATTCTTTCCGAAAATCAACCTTTTCCCTATTTTCTGCACCAAATAAATAAATGTTAGATCAAGATGGAACACAACTGTAGAATGCTAGCATAAATACTGAAGTAGCTCAGAAGGCCTTAACAAGATAAAATCAGAATCAAACCCCTTCAATTTACAAATTGAACTTCAAGCTCATAACTACAGAATACCAGTAGCAACTAACTTTGCACTATGGCATGATTTCCAGAATCGCAAGTCTGGATCCACGTGATAAAATAAGAATGATGACCAAGTAAAAGTGAGACTAAAACTGCAAAAGAGGGCTACTAAGCCCTTTATAAAATTTATACTACCTCCGGTCCAAATTAGTTGCAACTATTTCCTTTTTGGGCCGGTCCACATTACTTGCAAATTTCCCATTTCTTTCCTTTTTTAGTAACTTTTTAGTGGTAAAATTACCATTTTACCCTTATTTTTTTTAAACACCCTAATTATAAAACTGATTTTATCTAATTAGCTTAAACCCTAACATTAATTAAGTTAACTATTTTCACCAAAATCAACCCCTTTTCATCTAATAAGCCACCTTTAAGGCAATTCCAACCACCTTCATCTTCCTCCTCATCACCATTATTCATCAAATTTCTACATCTTCTTCCTCATCCCCATTTTTTTCTCTCTCCTCCTTCAACCTGCTGCTTGATCGAGTCTAATTGAGACGCCACTATTTCCGGCGAAGATTTCAGCGGCAATTTCCGGCGAGTTCCAGAGTATGACGGCGAAGAATTGAGCGTGAATCGGCGGTTTCTCTCTCCTCTCCTTCCTCATGATTTAAGATCGGCGGTTTCTCTCTCCTCTCCTTCCTCATGGTTTAAGATCGGCGAAGAATTGAGCGTGAATCGGCATGTTGGTTGTTTCGGTGTGCTGGGTTGGTGGTTTCGATGTGCTGGGTTGGTGGTTTCGTTGTCGATGGGTTCGGGGGTCGGTGGGTTCGGGGGTCGTTGGGTTTCTGGGGTCGGTGGTTTGGTGTCGTGGCCAGTGGTGGTCGTTGGGTTTCTGGGGTCGGTGGTTTGGTGGTCGTGGTTGGGTTTGGTCGTGGCTGGGTTGGTGGTCGTCGATGTGGTGGTGGGTTTCTTTTTTTAAAATTGGGTTGAATTTGTTTTTTTTTTCTTTTACTTGATTAATACTTAAGTGTATATACCCTTATTTTTCAATAAACATGCTTAGGAAATTTTACCTCGGCCTCCGCAAACCCCCCCCCCAAAAAAAAAAAAAAGTTGCAACTAAATTGGACCGAAGGTAGTATTATAGATTTATAGATAATTTGAGATCCCAATAAGGCAGTAAAGTTTGATCTAGACAAGACGCCTAGCAAAAACCTATCGCTTTAGGTTCGGAAAATGGTTGTCGAAGAAAGCATACCATGGCACCCCACCCCCACCCCCCACCCCCTTCTCTGAATAGCCTAAAGTACACTATCGCCAGACGATGCAAAGATTGCATTACAATAGTTTAAAATTTAGACACAATGAGACTTATAGCATTGGTATCCATCTAGTCCTTACTCAATACATTGTAATCTCATTGTTTCCTGATATTCACTCCTATATGAGAAACAGGAGGGGTTAGCCAATGATCCCATGACAAAATATGAGATAAGGATGCCTCAAAGAAAGATGACCATTACTCTGAACTTGTTATTAGTTTTTCCACCTACAAAGTACTCAATAAATTTAGCAACACTCCCTATCATTTTTGTGCTAGAGAAATTACATTTCTTGCAAAAAAGCATTACAACATTAATGAAGAGCAAAAGCATGGGTTATCACATAAAGACCTCGCTTTTCTAACTGACTCGGAGAGGGTGAAATGTTTATTCAATCCCCATAAGAGGTAGAGGAAATCTTAGCCGACGTCATCTTACTCTATGTTTGGATAAAGAGAAATGGAGGTTAGGAAGAGAAGAGACATGGAGGGATGCGTCATCCTTTGTTCGGATATCTAATGCAAGGAGAGAAGGGGAGGAAATTGGAAGGATCCACTTTCCTTCCCCTTTTAAAAAACCAAATCCCTCCATTCTCCCTCCCCTCACTTTTCCTTCCCTCTTTTTCCTTCACCTCTCACTCCCTTCACTATGGTTATCCAAACATAGTGTTGAGCAACAATTCCACCAATGCTTAACTAAACTGAATTTCCACAACCCATAATTCAGTTAAACACAAGCATGTTAACATGTTCGTTCAACACTCGGGCCATAAAATTACACCTTTTACAGCAATTGGCATAACACAATTGGAGTAGGAATAAAGTTGTGTATATAATCTTACACAAAAAGACTACTTTAGAATTCTATATTTTAATCATCACTTTACAAAAAATCCAGGCCAATAAAAACTAACTTTAACTAATGCTTGGACAGTTTGGGCATTCAGGGCACTTGCAAATTCTTGTATCAGACGGTCTAACAATTAATACCACCCTAATAAAAACCCGCAAATTCTTGTATCAGACGGTCTAACAATTAAAAACCACGTACCACATAAACAATTAAATTAGTAACCCAATAGTTCCAACATATAATGTCAATCATAACGTAGTTTTAGACCAATTAATCAATACAATGAATCACTCAATTGACAAAAGCATAATACAAAAAACAATAAAAAAAAATTGCAATAAAACTAAAAATTGAAGAGATAAGATTGAAGGGGTTAGATTATACCTCAAAAACAACTCTATCCAAGAAGAAACGAACGGAAGGGAAGAATAGAGCAAAAAAGGGAAGAACAATGAAATCATGAGAACTGGGGTCAGATTCTTGTTGCCAATCAATGGAAGTGAAGAAATCGATCAAACCCATGATTAGTTTCGTGAATCAGATTTAGGAGAGAATCTAATCTAGAATTTAGAGAGAGAAAGGAGAGATCTTTTCTTCTTGTTGTTCTTCAGAGAAGAAGAGAAGGCTGACATAAGTCTTCGTCTCCTCTGTTTCTTTCTCTCTCTTCTCTACAAATTCTGCAAAATTGCCAGAGTAGTGGAAGAATTGGCTAGGCTAAGCTACTAGTTCGGCTGCTATCATAAAAAGTTGATCATCATTCATCCTTAAATGTACCACTTGATTTGGACAAAATAAATCTAGTGAATAAAGATTTAAAGATAAAATATTTTGATTTTACACAACTTTTAAAATACAGGTGTGGGCAAACTGGGCACTAGGGGGATAAATCGAGTGGTTAAAGTTTTTCTACCAATTTTAGCTGATTTTGGATTCATCTATAATAAGAAAGTGATTACGGAGTATATGTTTGAAATTGCTATTTGCCACAATAGAATTACTCAAGTTATGGTATTAAATGACCTCTATGCCCCTTTTTAATTTTGAAAACTAGTGAGTAGCCCGGGTATTAATTTTTAAAAGCATTTAATAGTATGTAGTACATATTTTCAATTCTTTATTGTATAATGTTATTTAGTGTGCAATGTTAAACATAATTGGCTATTAGCCTAGCTGGTTAAACAATAATACCTCCTCAAAGAGGTTAGGTGTTTGAACCTTCTCATCAATACATTTTTTTTAAAGGCAAACCTTTTTTTTATTCATTTTTCGATACAGTCCCATGTAACATGCGACTATACCATGGTACAATCACATAATACATGCGATTGTGTACTTAAATATTTTTTAATTATAATTAAAAATAACCAAATACATTTAATTAGTAAATTTACGATTTTTTAATTATATTTTTTAAAATTTTCACATAAATTTTTTTTTTTTTTTTGAGGCAACATGAATTTAATTTAATGCTCCTAATTAAATTTAATTTTAATTTATTTTTAGGAAAAAAATAATTTAATTTTTAATATATCATGTAATAGTTTATTAGTAATAAAAAAAATAGAGGGGGCATGGGTGGTGAGAAAATTATGTGGGGCCAAATATTAAATTAATAAGGGTAGAAAGGTCATTTAATACCGCGTCATAAGTAATTCCGTTGTGGCATAAAGTAACCCCCATGCATTTTGATCTATTGTTTGCAAAAGAATACCTTTTTTTTTAAACCATTTACAAAAGAATATACTACTTCCTTGGTATATTTACAAAAAAGCATCACTTAAAAAATCACGGACTCCTAAACAATTTTTTTACTATGTACTCCCTCCGCCTCACAATATAGTTCCTGTTTTCCTATGTTAGAGACCCAAAATGTTGTTCCTATTTTTATTTTTGGATAGTATGCAAAGACCATTATACCCTTATTTTTTTAACTTTAATCATTGAACTTTCTAATTTATCCTTAAATTATCCACCTTCATTGTACTTTTTCCACCTTCTCTCTCTAACTTTTGTTTATAATTTATGTTTCACTTTTTCCCCTTAAATTATCCACTTGTCTTGTACTTTTGTCTAGCTTTTTTCCACTTTTACTGTTCTTTTTCTACTTCTCTCTCATTTCTTAAATGCCGTGAAAAAAAACATACTCCCTCCGTTACAAGTTACTCGCAACAATTACTAAAAATGGTCGTTTCACATTACTTGCAACAAGTTTTTTTTTTCCTTTTATAGTAAGTTTTTTAGTGTGATTTTACAAAATTACCCTTAGTTTTGTTTTTAAACACCTTAATTAAACTATTGTTTTTATCTCATTAACTTAAACTCTACATTGATTAACTTAATCATTTCCACCAATATCATTCCCCTCCCAATTAAATTCATCATCACTTTCAATTGCCAACCACCACCACTACCATCACCACTACTACCACCATCACCATCACCACCACCACCATACCTAGAATTTCTCTCTCTTTCTTCACCGATCTACCCTCAATTCGACCGCAACACCTCGCCGGAATTCACGCTGTTGTCGGTTGTCTCTCGCTTGTGGGTTTTGGGTTCGAAATCTGGGTACGTAGGGTGGTGGTGGGTTCGAAATTTAAGTTCGTGGGTGGGGTTCTAGGTTCGAAATCTGGGTTGTGGGTTTTGGTGTTCGAAATTTGGGTTCGTGGGTGGTGATGGGTTATGGATTCGTTGGTGGTGGCGGATTCGTGGGTCGTGATGGGTTGTGGATTCGTGAAGATGATGGGTTGTGGATTCTTGGTGGCAGATTTTGGATTATGAGTTTATCTAGGGTTCGTCGGTTGTAATGGGTGGTGGTGGGTTGTAGTGGGTTCGATGTTTGATGGATTTTGGGTGGTGGCGGATTCGTGGGTTGAGTTTAGGGTTGTGGGTGGTGGTGGATTGTAGTGGGTTTGGTGTTTGTTGGTTTCGTGGTGGTGGGTGGTTTTGTGGTGCTAAATGCTGGTGTTGGGTGGTTTCGGGTGTGCTCGGTGGCGGACTGGTGGTGGTAGTTGTTGGTGGTGGTGCTAACTGTTGGTGGTGGTAGGTGTTGGTGGTGGTGCTAGCTGTTGGTGGTAGGTGGACTGTTGGTGGTCGGTGGTGCTAGGTGTTGGTTTTGGGTTGGATTAGTACTTAAGTGTATCCCTAATTTTCAATAATCAAGCTTATGATCTTTTGCCTAGGAGTCCGCAATCCCCTCCTTTGTTGCGAGTAACTTGAAACGGAGGGAGTAATAGAAACTATATTATGGAACATAGGAAATAGATGAAATGAATAGGTAAAATACATGAGATATGAGATACACAAGTATTGGGTGCGGCTCTTGCCGCACCCAATGTTTCGTCAGTCAAGAAGTATCATTGTCATCTTCTTGCGACGATGAAGAAAAAGTTTCCACCCGATGAGAAGTTGGTGGTGGTTACGGCGAAGGAGAGGAGCGAGGTCATCTATGGCCGAAAGAGAGAGAAAGTTTAATTGCTTTAGATTATCGGATATTTTTCGAAAAATGCCCAAAAAATCAAATTGGGGCTTTCTTATGTGATGTAAAATTGTTGAAATTGATTGTCCCATATGATTGTATGTTGAATTGTGAGCATTTTGATAACATATGCATGTATTTTAGTTGAAAAATGAGCAAGTTATGTTGTACAGATCATGACCTTGAGTACAAGATCTTCAATGGAGGTTTTGTTATTGTTATACATATAATCAAACAAGTTATACATATTCTCAAACAAATTATACATATCCTTTATTAGCTTGATAATATCCTCTATTGGCTATATGATATCATGGTTGGATGATATCTTCTATTGACTATATGATATCATTTATGACTGTGTCTATGATATTCTTTATTGGTTGGATGATATCATCTATTGGCTATATGATATCATGCTGATATCCTCTATTGGCTATACGAAGTATAATTAAATTTTTCCCCCTCCCAACTTGTAGACACCCATCTGTGTCTCCCCAAAACCAAACCCGGTGATGATGAGTACCTTTCGCGTCGAATCATAATCGAATGAAGTGAAAGTGTGGAAAGTCTAGTGTTGCGGATAGTTTTAATTTCTTTTCTCTTCTCTCTGTTTTTGGAAACTTATTTTAAGCGAACAGCCAATCCAGTTTGGTTGGTCCATGATATGGGTCCAATAGTAGTGTAGTTGGATGGGGCTTGACAAGATTTTTCCAACGATATATTATAAGCCCAATTCCGATGAATATTGAGGAAGTTATGGCCAATTTACTAAACTGGGCCCGGTTTGAGCCTTATATGCGGCCCATTGATCTTGGGGAGGGCCTAATATGATTTATCATTCCTAATGCAATTAGGAATGGTTTTAGTCTTCTAGATTCTTCTAGAAGGTTCTTTTCATTCCTAATTCAATTAGCATTGATAAATTGACTTTTGTTGACTTTTCAGAGTTTTAATTAAAATCAAATAGCATTTTTGAGGAAAATATACGATTTTATCCTCTAGTACCGCAAACTTAACTGATTTTTAAAAACGCGTCAAAAACAGGCCTGGCGCCTGACTCCAGGCATTGGCGCCTGGAGCTAGGCCTGGCGCCTGGCGCTAGTGTTGGCGCCTGGCGCCAGTTAGCCAGGGTTGGCACCAGCTCTGTTTCAGTTGCGCCAGGACTCTGTTCTGTTAAGTTATCTTTTTGGCTGATTTTCTCTATAAATAACGACGTAAAAACACCGTTTTCATTAACCTACAATCAGTTTTCAACTAATTCTCATTCTCTTTAATCATTCGCTAATTCTCATCAAGATTTCCTTAATCAATTCATCTTTCTCTTTCTTTCTCGAAAATTGCTTTTCACATACAAAATTCCGCATTCACAAGATCTATAAACACCTAGCCATATTCGAAGTTGCCTTCGCCCTAGGCGTGAAAGGTTTAATTTCTGAGGGTTTGGTCCCAAATCTCTCTTTCAATTATTTAATTTAATTGTTTGTTTATTATTTTCCTTGAAGTTACTAACGTGTGCATTTTGTTATTAGAAAGAGGTACGAGGCCTCAAAGTAAGTACTTTAATGGTCTTTATTGATGTTATGATGTAGAGATCATATTTATATTGTTATTATGATATTCCTACTATCATGTCTAGGGTAATTTTAATATTAAATATGATTGTTACGATGCTTTTATGTTTTTCCTAATATTTATGATTGTTAGTATCATGTTAGAGTTAAAGATTTGATTTTTATTGCTTAGTGACATGCTAGGGTTTGTTATTAATCTTGTTAGTATCATGCCTAGGATCTTGCTATTATTATGCTTTAATATTAACATGAACATGATTATGAATATTATTATTATAATTTTATGATGATTATTTTATTATGATAATTATTATTATGATTTTGATTATTATGTTGTTTGATGACTTTTATTATTTATTGCTTGATCACGCCTTTTATGCATGTTTAAAGGGAATTGGTACTTGTAATCACGCTTAATAAGATAATTAATAATCTTGTTAGGGTTAATTTGATTATAATTTCAAGTGATCGCCAATAATAGATTTGTTTGTGCATTAATATTCAACCAACATAAATAAACAGGTTTAGGGTTAATCCTATTGATTGCATGTTAGTTAAAAAGCGCACATGAATACGATCAGAATAAAGTAGAGGCCTATTATTAGGGCAGGTTCAATCTCTTTTAGGTTGGATTTGTACCTTCATCCCCGAACCCTTATTTGGTTCTAGACCTTATGAAGTTGACGATCTCTTGGATCGTTAAGG